ATAATTCACATAATTCAAATGATTCAAAGGGGCCATTTGAATCATTCAAATTGTTTGAATTATTGAAGTATTTGAATTATTTGAATAATTCAAATATCCCGAAATCTCTGTCCTGTGAGACACTTAATTATTTGAATTATTTGAACTATTTAAATTATTTAAATAATTCAAAGAATTCAAAAATTTAAAATATTTCAACTGTGTCCCTCGACACAGATTTCGGGATATTTGAACAATTCAAATAATTCAAACAATTCAAACAATTTAAATGATTCAGATGGCTCCATTTGAATTATTTGAATTGTTTCAATTATTTGAATTATTTGATTTATTTAAATAATTCAAATAATTCAAATGATTCAAATGGAGCCATTTGAATTATTCAAATTATTTGAATTATTCATGCAAATAATCTAAATAATTCAAATAAAAATAACATTAATAATTGACATAATTTAAATAATTTTAAATGGAAAAGGAGGGGGCTGGCCTGTTTCTGGGGGAGACCCAGGCTCGTCATTTAGTATTGGGGGGGAGGCCCGGGCTCGTAATTTAGTGTTGGGGAGGCCCGGGCTCGTGATTTAGTATTGGGGGGAGGCGCGGGCTTTTTGGGGGCAGGCGCGGGCTCGTCATTTAGGGGAGGCCCGGGCTCGTGATTTAGTATTGGGGGGAGGCCCGGGCTCGTGATTTAGTATTGGGGGGGGCCCACGCAGCTGCCCCCCAAGGCCCCTTCGCCATTTAAATTATTTAGACTAAATTATTTAAATTATATAAATTCCACGAATTTATATATTTAAATAATTTAAACGTTGGGGGGCCCCTGGACATGTAAGTTATTTGAATTATTTAAATTCCCCGAATGTATATAATTTAATAATTTAAATGTCGGGGTGCCCCTGGACATTTAAATTATTTAAATTATTTCAATTATATAAATTCCCAGAATTTATATAATTTAAAAAATTTCAATAATGTAAAAAAATTTAACTGGAAAGGAGGGGGGGCTGGCCCGCTTTCGGGGGAGGCCCGTCATTTAGTATTGGGGGGAGGCCCGAGCTCGTATTTTAGTGTTGGGGGGAGGCCCGGGCTCGTATTGGGGGGAGGCGCGGGCTTTTGTTGGGGGCAGGCCTCGTAAGGCCCGGGCTCGTGATTTAGTATTGGGGGGAGGCCCGGGCTCGTGATTTTGTATTGGGGGGGGCCCGGGCAGCTGCCCCTTCGCCATTTAGATCATTAAAATTACATAAATAATTTATTTATATAAATTCCACGAATTTATGTATTGAAATAATTGAAATGTCGGGGTGCCCCTGGACATTTACATTATTTAAATTATTTAAATTCAACGAATCTATATAATTTAAATAATCTAGATGTCGGGGGGCCCCTGGACATTTAAATTATGTAAATTATTGAAATTCACCGAATTTATATAATTTAAATAAGTTAAATAACTTAAATAATCTAAATAATGTAAATAATTTTGATAATTTAAATAATTTAAATGCAAAAGGAGGGGGGGCTGGCCCGCTTCCGGGGGAGGCCCGGGCTCGTCATTTAGTATTGGGGGGAGGGGGAGGCCCGGGCTCGTAATTTAGTGTTGGGGGAGGCCAGGGCTCGTAATTTAGTATTGGGGGGAGGCCCGGGCTCGTGATTTAGTATTGAGGGGGAGGCCCGGCTGGGGAGACGCGGGGGGAGGCCCGGGCAGCTGCCCCCAGGGCCCCTTCGCCATTTACATTTAAATTATTTAAATTATTTACATTATTGAAAATATATAAACTCTCCGAATTTATATAATTTTAATCATTTAAATGTCGGGGGGCCCCTGGACATTTAAAGTATTTCAATTATTTAAATTCACCGAATTTATATAATTTAAATAATTTAAGTATCGGGGGGCCGCTGGACATTTAAATTATTTAAAGTATTTAAATTCACCGAATTTATATAATTTAAATAATTTAAATGATGGGGGGCCCCTGGACATTTAAATTCTTTAAATTATTTAAATTACCAGAATTTATATAATTTAATTAATTTAAATCATTTCAATAATTTATATGGAAAAGGAGGGGTGGCTGGCCCGCATCGGGGGAGGTCTGGGCTCGTCATTTAGTATTGGGGGGAGGCCCGGGCTCGTCATTTAGTATTGGGGGCCCGGGCTCGTGATTTAGTATTGGGGGGAGGCCCGGGCTCGTGATTCAGTATTGGGGGGAGGCGCGGGCTCTTGATTTAGTATTGGGGGCAGGCGCGGACTCGTAATTTAGTACTGGGGGGAGGCCCGGGCTCGTGATTTAGTGTTGGGGGGAGGCCCGGGCTCGTGATTTAGTATTGGGGGGGGCCGGGCAGCTGCCCCCAGGCATTTCAATTATTTAAATTATTTAAATTATTCAAATTATTTAAATAATTTATATTATTTAAATTATTTAAATTATATAAATTATTTAAATTATATAAATTCACCGAGTTTATATAATTTAAATCATTTAAATGCCGCGGGGCCCCTGGACATTTAGATTATTTAAATTCCCAGAATTTATATAATTTAAATAATTTAAATGTCGGGGGGGGGGGGCCGCGACATTTAAATTATTTAAATTCCCGGCCTGTCCCACCCAGAAACCCACATCTTATTTTTATTTTTAATTATGTAGCAAAAAACCCGAGTTTTAGCTTCCAAATAAACCCGGTTTAAGCCGCACACACCCCCCCCCCCCCCCCCCCACCTGGTTGCAGAAACTCTCGTTGTCAACACTCGAGAAGCTCACTCGGAAACTTCTGTGGTTGTGCAACTTGTTTCGACCTTTCAGGCCATCTCTGGCACCGCTATGCTCTGTCCGCCGCTTGTGCGCGTTCCGCTCACTTCTGATGCCTGGGACCGCCTTCAGGACTGTTTGTCGGACGACCTTACAGTGTCCGCGCCCTGCGTTGCCCGCCTCTTTCGTGTTGCTCAGTCCGCGGTTCAGCACAAATCTGAGCTCCCTGCCTTTCCCCACACTTCACGCCGACTCTGGGTTCAAATCTCCGACCCGAGTTCTCCGGACAGCTTGCTAGCCGAGGCTTCCCGTGAGGTGATAGTCATGTGGTTGCAGGTTTGCCGCTCGGGTACCGACTTGCGTTCTCTGCTCTTCTGGCCTCACTTCCATCTGAACACTCCGCGGGCCTGGGTGGCTTCGTCAGGCCCCCATGTGGAAAATGTCTTCACATTTTCCCAAGCCGAGCTGCGTGCCATGTTTCCGTGGTTCCCGCCCGATGCCTTTCCCTAGCACTTCATTTACTGGCTCAGTGCGGCCTGTTACACCTCCTATCGTGTCTGCGACAACTCTGCTTCCGATGCCGCCGGAAAGCCCTCTCCTTGGCCAAGGGCCTGTGTGCACTCCTTCGATCGTTCTTCATCATGCAGGAACGCCAATTCATATCCGTTCACATCGACCTACCCTTTGGAGCTGGATCTTTCCAGATTTCTGGCGAGTGCTGGCCTGCGTTACCCTGTCGGGTCAAGCGTTCGCCTGAAAACTTTGGCGTACTCCGGTCCAGCATGTTCTCTGCCCGGCACCTTCGGTGCTTCCCGTTTCAACCGATCGGATTCTGCTTTCCGCCAATGTGAAAAAGGAAGCGTGCGTTGCTTTCTCAACATTCCTAGCGTAGCGTGCATTCGTAACGGACTAGTGTGCAGCTGTGAACGTGGATGAACTTGTACACGTATGTTTGCAGCTAACACGCAACGGCAAGTATGCACAAACCTCCTCCGCCCGCCTTGCAGCCCTGGCTCCGAGGTGAAGTGCATACTGCGAGTCCGTTACACTTTGAGGTACCTTCCGCCATCCCCATCTAACCGACCATCTGTCTTCCATGCCGCAAGCCTTCCTCGCCGTGGCCCGCTTCTGCGGTTGATTCTGGCCGATCAAAGTATCGGTTTCGGAATCCGTCTCTGAAGTGATGGGTCCACACACTGCCTTGCCATGCATTGCCAGACTCAATATTGCTGTTCATTCACGCTGAAAGCTTTTGCTGATTGTTTCACTCCGTATTTGCCTTTCTCACTGGCCCGGTACTCCGCACCTTCGGTGCTTCCCGTTTCAACCGATCGGATTTTGCTTTCCGCCAATGTGAAAAGGAAGCGTGCAGTGCTTTCTTTACATTCCTGACGTGCATTCGTAACGGACTAGTGCGCAGCTGTGAACTCGTTCGTTTCGGAAGCTGTGGGCAGAAGGAATCAATGGCATCTACTGCTACCTGATATCCCAGCGCAGTACAACGAAAGCCTCACTCAACCAGGCTTCGTTCCAAACAAAGTGTATGACGATCCGGAGACGGCTGACAGGGCCTTGGCCAGGATCAAGCGCAACATCAAGATGAACGCCGGAGGGGTGCCTCAAATAGCGGTGGGAGATCTCGTTCGGGTCAGGGTTAAGCCTATCGAAAGTAGGGGCTTTTACAGGGTTACGGAAGTAGCATGGAGCGAACGGGTTTACACAGTCGCCAGAATCGAAAACACAGACGGCAGACCCTACTTCTTCCTCGAGGGCTGGACCGGAGATAAGCTGGTTCGACGAGACCAGAGGCGCAGCTTCCCTATGCAATGCAAAGAGCAGCGCGGCAGGCAAGCAGCGCACAACCGCAGAATGCCCGCCCCAGGCCCTATCGCTCCAGCCTGATTACAAACTCAGCGCCGAGCCTCTAAGCGACGCGGAAGAAGTTGAGAACGCCTGTGAAAGAAGGTGCAGCACAGGCGATGACACAACCGCCTGCTCAAGCATCACTCAGGCGCGGTCCTGGGCTTAGCCGCTCGCCATCACTCAAAGCAATAACTCGATATCCACACCTTCCTCCTAACGATCCCCTTCTGGAGGGTTTCTGTAGCGAGCGGCCATGTTAGCTCGATAAACCCCGTCTACGCTGGTACCCTACAACGAAAAGCTCGCAAAAGCGTCACTTGGCTGAACCCCTGTTCTCCGACGGCTGTTCGGAAACACCTGTACAACTGAAGAAACTCTTCAGGCCTACGAGTGGAGGTAACTGGTGTTGAAAAGCTTGCCCTTGAACCGTCCATCGATCGAAATCTCGCGGTGCATGAAGCCAACCTCGCCATGATCCTGAGGATGTGGTTCATCAGATGGAAGGTTGCTATGTCGGGCTCCTCGTTGCAAAGCAGCCCAGCACGAAGCCCACACCGCGTTCCTCTTGAAATGTCCGATCGGTCTGGAGCGATGCGAGTCGAGCTGACAAGCCTTCGTGCTCAGTGCTGTGAGGCCACGCTTCTGGATCTGCACGACCTCGTTCACGTGATGGCGGCAACCCAGGCGACGGAACTCGACCTTGTGCTCGCCGACGCTCTCCAAGATGGCCTTGTAGAGGTCGTGGTCCACCCTTGGCACGCTCCTTGGTTTCGCCTTCTGTCTTGGAAAAAGAGTACATCTTCGGCGCCAAGCCCACCCATTCGACGCCGTAGTGAGGAGCCAACTCGTCCGAAAAGTTGCCCAGCTCGCCAGCGCGACGAAGAGCCAGCTGGCGACTTGGAGCCAGATGCTCCTGCAGAGCGCTGCCCTTCGCGGGTCGTGATCTTTGAAGATTTGCTCTTGAGAAGATCTCCGTCGAAAACGCGACGAATCCTGTAGTGCGCCTTCATCATCAGCAAACGGGACGCCTCGAGCACCTTCCACCCTCCTTGGAGAAAAGATCTCAAGATCTTCGCTCTGCCAGCCTTCTGCACGTCGACGAAGGCCAAGAAGGCACGCTCCTCCATGATTTGCGGATGGATGTCGAGCATGTCTTTGGAACTTCATGGAACTTGAAGCCCTTCGTGTATGCCCGAGTATGCCCGAGTGGTCCTGAGTTTTTTTTTGTTTTGCACCATCTTTCCGTATTGTACATTGCCTGTGAGTTTTTGAACTTCCGCCTGCAGCTTGCGGCCGTTTTTCTTGTACTCGCGACGCGTCTCCACGGTCTCGCGAACGAAACTCCTCATGTCTCCGACACGGTCTGGCTTCTTGGATGAAAGACAACGTGAAAGGACTGAGTTGCGATCGCTTCACAGGCACCTTGCAGCCAGGAGGCCGATCAACGCAAGAGTCGCGAAACCAGGGAACATCGAACATAACCTCAACCATGTAGCAAACCTCCTTTCGTCGTCCTCATCGTAGTCCACCAGATCGACGGGTCGGTTGAGGTAGCGCAGCCTTTTGTTTGGACTCGACGGCAGGTCCACCCACTCCCTGCCGTCCATCGGCAAAGGTTTCTTCATGATGGATGGGTACATGCTGTTCACGTCGTAGCAAAGGATCCACGACGACTCTCGAGCGGGATCGAGAGTGGGCAGCATGGGGTTGTTTGCCGCCGCGAACGGTTGTGCAACACTCACTTTGGCTCGTACACCCTCCGATCGGTCATGAGTCCGAGGCCGCAATCCGGCCGAGGGCGGCACTTGTGTTAGGTGGAAGTGGATTGCACAGTCAAAAAAATGCGCAAACCCTCTCTTGGGAAAGCGCGTAACCGCAACAAGGAGTAGCCGTGGGGTGGAAGCAGGGCATCATCGAGTACACGCCATGAGAAACATGAGCGGCCGAGCCCGCGCCGCAACAGCCCTTGCCTCCTGGTACGTACCCCAGAGCTGCAAGGTCGACGCCTACGCCTCTCTCCCGCTTTGACTCCGCCGCATCTCTCGCCGGAGGGAGCGCAAGGAGGCGGCTGCGCGGAGCCTGCGTCCTCGAGCATGCTTAGTCAGTGGCCATTCGGAGTTTGGCGTCGCGACGCTAACGTTTGAGCTTCTCAGTGTCGTAGGCTTTTGCACACAGTTGCGCAGGTCCGGCTGACTCTGATTCCTGATGGATGTTTTTTGGGAGTCGTTAGCCCGGTCATTGCTTGGTCAGCCCGACGAGTGTTTGAGCCTCCGCTGAGTTCTAGCATGATTTGCAACGCCATTTTGAGAACCATCTTTCGGGCAACGTTTGCAACTCTGCCCTTAGGCTCAAACGAGGTTCTTAGTCGACCTGTTTCGAAGCCTTCGACCATCTGTTTCGAAGCCTTCGACGAATCGAGGTCTCTCATGTTGCTTTTTGTTTGCTTCAGCTCCCACGTCGCCATGTTCAGTGAGTGCAAAGGTCTGAGAGAGATTCGCCGAGCCGAGCTTTCTTCAGGATGACCTCGAGTGTGGTGCAAGGGCTTGGGACGATTGAGCCGAAGCTTAGCGGTCATGATATTTCGTCGTTCATGGCGGAAGCCTTCTTGCTGCTCATCATTCGACCAACCCCCTCTGCAGCGGCTGGGGTTCGAAGCTTGAATCCTCGGCGAAACACCCTCTGAGTGCGTCGGACCTCCTTGGATGCTCCACTCCGCTACAATGCCTGGGTGCCTGTCGCGGAGGTAGGGACCGTGTCCGCCCCAGAAGCGCGCTTCGCGGTGGTCTTGACGGAGCGAAATCCCAGACTACCCAGCTGCAGCGGTAGCTGAGCCCGGCGAATGGCATTGGCCTCCTGCATCGGCGGCCCGTCATTGGCCAGCAACTCCTGCAAGCATGCGAGGTCCCCGCCGTCTCGGCCCTCGTTGATCTTCTGCGGCATGAGCTTGGCCAGCGGGTGTACACGCTCCAAGGCCCCCCCCGCCCAAGCCCGCGCAACGACGATGGCCTGTTGCAACGTTTCCGCAACGGAGCGGGGGTCAGTACGCTGCCAAACGGCCGGTTTCTGCAGAACGGAAGCCTGACGGGGGAGATGTGCCCGGCGAATCGCAAGTTCCATCGCGCCACCGGATGGAACAGCGGCGGCCCCCCGCCTCGCCGATCGCACATTAATGCAGAACTGCGCAGCATGGAGACCAGTGGGACTTGGGACAAGGGCGCAGCTATTGTTTTGCAGCATATTGCGCGTGCTGTGGCGTCCCGCACCGGCGAGGAGCCGGCTGCTGTGCACGCTGCCCTGGTCCAGGAATTGTGCGTTGTGGCGCGCAGTTTCCGGGCGAGGGCAGCCCTACGGCGCAGGAGTGAGGCCGCTGCTGACTAAGGAGCCATGAAGAGACGACTGGACTTGCGAGAAACGGGGCCGGTGGTCCTTCAATAACTTTGTTCCTTCCTTGCTGGCGCGCAGTGCCTCGTGTGTTTGCTTTTGCCCCTGCCCGGGTCTGTCCAGTTCTTCCTTCAACATGGCCTCCGCTTGGGTCCGTGAAGCTCCTTTTGTTACGGCCCGTGGGCATGCGTGGCGCGGGAGTTCTCGCGGGGCGCCGGAGACTCGTGCGGGTGTCGGGGATCGCCCTACGGCCAACCATGCTCTCTGCCTTGATGTCAGTGTGGACGCATGCTGCATCATTGGGTGTCGGACGCAGGACGTGCGAGCTGCTTGAAGGGTAGCGTTTTACGATGTTTTCTGTCCAGTTTTGGCATTGCGCTCAGAAGTAGGCGCGGCTTGGTGCCTCCCTCACAAGTAGGAGGTGCATGCTTTGGAATTGTTACGCTTGTCTCGGTCGGGCGCTCTGCGCTGATGAGCCCCGAACCTGTCGTCATGCGCATGTGCTTTGGGATGGGCGCAGCGTCCAACGTTAAAGGACCATCCTCAGGAACGCCGTCGGCCAGCCAATTTGGGAGTGGACCTGCCTTTCTTCGGGTCGTTTGAGCGGGTCCCGCAGCGCGTCCAGCGTGTCGGTAGTGAGCAGAGCTAGGGGAGCGACTGTGAGTGCCGAGCTGGCAGCAGAAAGCTTGCACGTTCCGCCCGTCGATGCACTCCTTCGTCCGCGGATGGGCGGGCCTGGGCATCTTTTCCGGCGCGATGCGGTGCTGGCCACGATTGTGGCAAACTAACATGCGTGGGGCCAAGAGGAAGCGTTCCAGCCCGCCGCTTGTACCTGCCTTCGCTCGCGTATGTTCGCGTGGAAAGCGTCTCCAGCGCGCTGCGCAGCGTTTGCCGCAAGGCTCCCGTACCCGCCCCTAGTGTGGTCCACGCTGCGGAGTCATGGCGGGCGCAGGGATTCCAAGTGCCGCCGTGGGAGTCTTTGCTGGGCGGCCAACGACCGCCAGCCGCGCCCGAACCGCGCGACACATTGCGGGGATGGCAATGCGCCGCCGTGGCCTGCCAAGACAGGACAGCATGCGAGAGCCTTTTATCTGACCTCGATCCGGCCTCCAGTGCTTTGCTTCTGTCTCAGGCAAGCCCTGGGCTGTCATTGCTCTCCCCACAACACCTGAGTTCCGCATGCCGAGTGAGTGCATGCGCGTCCCACTGCTCCGTCGCCTGCGAGCGCCCTTACCCCACGCACTGCCGTCGCGGGGGGGCTCTCGATGTCTGGGGTGACCATCGCACGGCCTGCCCCACAGCAGGCGTGTTGGGCCCGCACGGCACGCCCCCAGAGCAGGCGGCCGCGAGAATGTGCCGCGAAGCGGGTGCCGGGTGGCCAAGAACGTCCTCCTTCGCGACATGAACCTTGATGTACCGCTGGCGGATGCCCGCCGCACCGAGGTACTGGCAAACGGCCTCTCTTCTGCCAGGGAGCGCAAGTCGCGGTTGACACCACGCTCGTGAGCCCAGTCAGTTTCGCAGGACGGCGCGGCTCGAGCGAGGGCAGATCGTGAGCCAGGAGCGGCCGCTTCCGACGCGGCTAGGCGGAAGCGCCCAGACACCTACCCGGAGCTTTTGGCGGCCCCCTGCTGCAAGTTGGTCGTCGTTGGGCTGGAGGTGGGCGGGGGCTTACGACGGAGACGGTCGGATCTCGTGTCTTTGGACAGACCTCGCCCTTGCAGATGTGACAGAACGCTATCGAGACAAGTTTTTTGGAGCCGTTTTTTTCAAAAAACAAATGTTGCAGAATTAACTGAACAAAAAACATTGGATTCATTGTTGTCCAAGCCATGCAGGTTGATTGTGGTAATTAGGGCGTGATGGCGCATGGATGGTTTGCCTGTCGGCCTGCAGGTCTCACTCACTCGCCCTGCGCCACGGCATGGCAATCATTCTAGAAGAACAATATGCTTCCAAGCGGTTCTACATGTGCAGCATGCATAGTACCAACCAACATCCAC